AAATAGGCTGTATAAAAATCAGAAGGTTTGATTAGATGTTTAAAGACTTGGTTGAGCTTAATTTCGATTGGTCAAGTGGTGTTTGAGTTTGGAAATTTCCCTAAACCAGTCTATTTGCTTGAGCAGATCCGTATGGGAACCTATCCGTCATATTTTACGTTTCTTAATACTTTTTAAGGTTTTTATTACCAACATACATATTTATACTAGTTCAAACATATAGCAATCAGCGCGAAGAAAATATGCTTGTATAAGTGGTGACGGGGCGTATGAGCAATTGCATTGCTTCATAGCTTCGCCTTAATTGGGTCCAAATGAATTGATATACTCAGATAAATGAGAACCCGCTCTTCTTCCAGCTCTTCACTAAATATGTATACATTTTTATTGTCTTTTAACCTAGGTGGAGCAAAATTATGGAGTGAGAGCAGAACCGGTGAACGAATTGTGTTTCTAAACCTATGATTTTACGATAATTATTGGGCATGGGATTTAGAAATAAAATTATTAATTATATCAAACATTACCACACAATTTTTTTAACATTATTGCCTGCGCACAGAGGAAAACATACAYACCCCTGCAAAAGTAAATATACACGCACTCATTTCAGAACAAATTGTGGCAATGGCGTATTCCTTAYATGTATGGTATGTTATGTAATTCATGAACTTCTCGTGTGCTTATCAAATCCATTAGTGCGCAGAAAGCGCAAATACTACCTATTTTATAGCCACAATCGACACACACGCTCACTCATGCATAGGCAAACACGCATGAGCATTTGGTGTGCCACCAAGAATGCCACGCTGCAGATGGACCTTCAGACAACGTGGCCAAAGTGATATTGTGAATATATAATTTGTTGTTGCTGGTTGGCACGGCTGTCATTGTCGTTTTGCCCYCTAATTTCACGGATTCAATAAATTTATCTATTGTTATGTGCCATCGTGTTGTCCTAGGCCCAACACATTCCCACCACTGCGTATTGATTGAAGCGGCATTGTGAGTACATAGAAACTTGTGTTCACGTATGTATTGGTGTGCATAGAATTTCCGGAATTCTGAAAGTCAAGGAAATATTGTACTGATGCTTATATTCCACGCTTTAACAAGTGAGGCGAACTGGTTCGAAAGTGATATTACTTGCACCACTTGAAATGTGACTTCCAGTTTTGACTTTATCGAACTTTACACCGAAATAGTCACAACCTTCTAGTATCATGCCCGCAAATTAATGAATTTAATAATTAGTATGAAGTATTATTTCCCAATCGAACAACATGCGTCGTTAACAGTATTCGAATGAGTGCTGATATATAGTATAACCAACAAAAGCATAAAATTGTTAGACGCCACTTGGTACATTTGAAACCAGTTAATTTCTCTATGGGGTTCAATATATCCATCCACTTGTTCCCCGTTTCCCACACTCAACAATATACATATACATAGGTAGTCGCACATTTTAACACTTGCCACTGTGACCATTTAATGTCATGCAACAGTGGTCACACCTCACCCATTTAAGCTCTAACTGTTGTTTATTTGCATTCTCTAGGCTTCGTAATAGTGTTATTTATCGTTAAATGCTTACCATTATTTTGAAATTTACTCGCTTATATTCACACACACACACCCCCATGGCATTAAATATACTTACACATACAAATACATATATTCTCTTGCTTATTTATTTATACATTTTTGCCTTTTCAAAATATTAAAACTATTCGCCGATTTTTCTTTTCTTGGAATAATTTATTACGCTTTATTGCGATAATAACACTTCAGAGTATTCGTTGAGTTTTGGGGAAAATTGATTTAAAATACATGTTGGAGATGTTTTCAAGAGTTTTCTGCATTTAAAATCCAATTTAATAATATAATTAATTTAAGGGATCGTTTCAGTGTGAAATTTTCGAAAATCGATTTTTTTTTTTTTTGTTGCATTATCGGATAGTACACACTGTAATAAACATAAATTTTTAAATCGAAATTCAAATTATTATGGTCGCTACAGAAGCGAGTGGATAAACACTACAAATCCAACCTTTAAACGCGGTTTTTTTTTTAATGGTGGTTTTCAAATCCGTTTCTACTCTAAAGGAAGAGTTTTGAAAATATCTAGTTCCAATTTGGAGGGAACATTTTTAACGACGTTCGCTATTGCGCTATGGAAGCTTTTTTTTTTTGAAAAAAGAGAAAAAATCCATACTTTTTGTTCAAATCGCCGCCATTTTGTCAAATTAAAAAAAAAATAAATAAAAAAGCTTCCATAGCGCGAAAGCGGCTTTCCTTCAGATTAATATTCTTTTCGAAATTTTTGTTTTAAACCAATCCGCACCGCAATCGTGGACATCATGCAAGACCTTTTTTGACGTGTTATTTCAACTGTTTGACTTGTAGACTCGAACTGCTTGACTTGTATTATCAAACGTTAAGACTTAAATAAGATTCTTTAGATCCCTACCACTGGTTGGGGGAAAGCAAAGACCTTGTTCAAGCTGAAAAATATTTCATTCTAATTTTATTATATATTAGTTTTGAAGTTTTACTTTTCTTATTAAAAATATGTGTATGGACTACAACCACATGGGGTTGTTTTTAATTATATGTATATTTGTGTGTGTTATCGCATTGTTTATGTTGTATTATTTGGGATGCCTTTCAAATGCACAAGTGCCTCTATCTTATCTAATGTATGTGGACTGTATAATTTGTTGCAATAGTAAGATTTTTCTTATCTTATTTAACATTTTTGAAATATATAAAAAGTTTAAATATAATATTGTTGTCCGTCCTTCACTGTTCATGTAACTATTATACTCCCAACAAGCAAACATAAAAAATCATTTTGTATTTGTCATGAATGTATGTAGTTAGCGAAATGATATTGCATGCATTCTATCAAGATCAAATTGACGCAAGAACTAAGGCCGCTTTACTACCAGAATCGTCGTATGTGCGTGAATTGAGTTGAGCAACCACTTGAAAATGATCCGGATTTTCATCGAGAAATCATCTTCAGCGATGAGGCTCAATTCCGGCTAAATGGCTTCGTCAAAAAGCAAAATATACGTTATTGGCAGCAATCCACACGTACTCCATGAGTCACCATTGTATCCTGAAAAAATTACAATTTCGGGCGATTTATGGGCCGACGGCGTCGATCGGACGTACTTCTTCCGTGATGATCAAGACCGGCACACAGCGAATGTCACAACCGATTTATTGTAAACTAAGTTTGGTGAATGTGTTATCTCACGAAATGGCCCAGTCAATTGGCCGCTTCGGTCGTGAGATTGTTTCCTGTGAGGCTACGTCAAGTCTGTGAGGCCAAACAGCCAGTGATGTACGAGTATCGATTGCAGCTATATCGGCCGATTTAGGCTTGAAAACCGTCGAAAATTGGGTTCAACGTCTGGACTTCTGCAAGCGTGTACGTGGTGGCCATGCAAACGAAATCAACTTTCATACATAATGGCATCGAATTTTGTAACGGCTTTATATTCATAGATATTTCAAAACGATAATGCGCCGCCTTATTATATCATGATTGTGATTGACCTTTGGGGCCAATCACGAAACGAGTGTAATTGTTCAGCTACCGTTTTCGCCAGAATTGGCTCTCGCGATGATATGTATGTATTTTCTCAGTGGCCTGTTTGGGAGGTGATGAAAAATATCTTTAAAAATGTTGTTATGTTGTGCCAGTTTTGGTCAAATTTTATCAGAAGGTACAGACAAATCCTGATTTTACCTGTGCACTTCTTCTTCTTCTTCTTCTTTACGGGTGTAGACACAGCAGCGTCCCAGTCGTTTTTTCTTTTCTCCGCCTGGTCTTTCCCATGGAGTGGAAGTCTTCCTCTTCCTCTGCTTCCCCTTACATCTCATACAGCTCAACGTTCAATCGAATGCGATATTCGCCGTGGCCAACGCGCAAAGGACCATACATCTTTCACAGAACTTTTCTCTCGAAAGCTCGTTACGTTAACTCATCAAGTGTTGTCATCGTCCATGTCTCTGCACCATATAGCAAGACGGGAATAATCAGTGACTTATAGAGTTTGATTTTTGATTTTATACGTCGAGAGAGGACTTTACTTCTCAATTGCCTCCTCAGTCCAAAGTAGCACCTGTTGTGAAGAGTTATTCTGTGTGGGACTTCGAGGTTGACATTGTTGTTGCTGTTAATACTAAATTACCTACGACTTCAAAGTTATGACTGTCAACAGTGACGTGAGAGCCAAGTCGCGAGTGCGACGACTGTTTGCTTGATGAAAAAAGATATTTCGTCTTGCTCTCGTTCATTACTAGATCTATTTTCTTTGCTTCCTTGTCCACTCTGGAGAAAGCAGAACTAACAGCGCGGGTGTTAAGGGGATTGATATCAATATCATCGGAATACGAAAGCAGCTGTACAACCTTATAGAAGATTGTAACTGCTCAATTAAGTTCTTAAGATCGAATTATTTTTGCCAGTAGCAGATTAAAGAAGTCGCACGTTAGGGAGTCGCCTTGTCTAAAACCTCATTTGGTATCGAACGGCTCGGAGAGGTTCTTCCTGGTCCTGACTGAGCTTTTGGTATTGTTCAACATCAGCTTAAACAGCCGTATTAGTATTGATTGTTATTTTTCATTGGGTGCGTATTTTACGCAGCTTGTCCCAAACCCAGCACACAACTCTGTGAAGGGATGTGTCGCCTTCTCACTTTAGCTTGCCTTCAAACGGATGTTCTTTGGCTATCCAGAGCATACTTGGTCTACAACCGGAACCCGTGAGTGGCTTGAGGCATATGTAAAAGAACCGTTTCTGGCCACTCCCAAGCGAATGGCAATCGGAGAACTTTCCTCACATACGTGAACTTCTACACATGACGCCATCCTCCGCATTCTGGTACTAGAAGTCCTTTTCGTATCGTATTTAATTGTTAACAAATATGCAGTACAAGACAAGTTCATATCATCTTTTATATAGCTTGATATTTTTCTTTTAGATTTTAAACATTATTGATGACGATTTGCAAAAACATGAGCGCTACACTCTCAATTAATCAGAAGCATTTGAGCGTCAATGAGAATCATTTTGGCGGCGTTGTAGAGCGAAACCGTTCACGGTAAGTTAACCCAAAATGCGCATTTATGCCAAATAATTTTTCATTACCAAAGCAATATTGTACAACTGTCTAACGTTGAGATTTTTCGCATCAACTCGCACTAATTACGCTCATTTATTGTCAATAATAACAAAATTACAATCATTAACCAACATTTGTGACGCGCCTGAATGTAATGCCATGCATAGATCGGAACGGGCCTCCAGCTTGGCACTGCCGCACAACTCCCTCTTGGACTTTTATGATAAAGAGCAGGAACAATGCAGCTCGGTGGCATTGTTGCCGACCACTGTCAATGTGGTTGTGCGTCGGCACTCGTCGCACTACTATCCAATGCTAGAGGAGAAGCACACGTCGCCGTTGCAGCAGCAACAGCAACAACAGTCATTAAAAACACATACACAAATGCAAATGCAGACAAGACAATTAAATGCGATGACCGCAAATGGTGGCGCGCTCCCAACGCTGACCGTTGCCATTCCCGAGTTGCCGCAATACAATTATAATCATAATAAAGCTGGTCAATTGGCGATGCAGGACATGCAATCGATGTCATCATTGCCGCTTTCAAGCCTTGTAAGTACAATGAATGCAACTGGCCAATTGCAGAGAAGCCATTCCACGCACGCACCAACACGCACTCACGCACACACCTACACACGAACAAACTATGCCGATCACCCAGTTGATGATAATGCGAAAAACTACAATAACGCTTTTGAATACTCTGCAACTGCTGCTATACACACACAGTCACATATATGTACATATATGACTTCAAAGCACGTTTGCCGCACGTAACCGACGCACCCAGCATTATTCCTGGTAAACACTTGAGCAGCGCCTACGAACTTTATAGCAAAAGTATACAACATTTTTCAATTTACGTTCCACCGAGTGATAACTAGTATTAGTTGGATAATCCTTCTTTTAAGGGGTTTGTCATTCTGAGCACTTGCCTCAAGTGTGTGTATTTTTCTTTTAGTGATCATAGCAAAACCCATATCTTACCTTCTAATGAGTGTGAGGAATTGGCCTGCAACTTGTTGAATCGTCTCTCAAATAGTTCCTGGGATTAAGTTAGTTTAGAATCCACATCTCTGTTTTGAGTGTCATCAACGCGACTTATCGCCCACATGATTTTTAATTTAATTTAATACAGAAAAAACGAAAATATTTACCGTGATCCTAATTTAATACCAAGCATCGAGATAAAAACTTTGACTTTCGAATTTTTTCGTTACTTTTGTTCGCACATATTCCGCTCAATGCAGGTCTAAGTAAACATTTGTTTAATAAGGATACTTAATGGCCTGAACTCAAATCAACAATGATTCCAAAGTCATTAATCACCTTCAGGTACACGCTGAGCTCCAATACATACAAATAAACGGAATGCTACTATACTTACATACATAATAAAGCTATGCACACCATCAGATTTTCAAATGCGTGCGCTAACACAAATCTCCATTTCAACATACACACATACATACATACATACATACATACATACATAAGTAAACATATTGATCTGTATGTGAAATGCAATTCTTCATTCACGCATCATTGTCCATCTTTTTATTCGTTTGATTTCAGGTGAATGGCAAAGAGAAAAAAGTTTTCACATACAATACGGTGACCAACAGTGCCAATGGTGCCACCAAAAACCAACCTATGAACTTGCCCAACACAGCAGCCCACACAAGTATTGTACCGGATACACCACCTCCACCCGTCCCGAAGCGAACATTTCGTGGCAATTACGCTTGGAACGCAGCAATTGATTCGCCTACGCCCACGTCCGCAAGTCAAACACCAACCAAAGATAAACAACACATCAGTGCTGGCACCGCTTTTGTTTATCCACCGCAAACCCAAACCCTTTCACCCGGCCATCGGCTACATCAGCAACAGAGTAATACGGTTTATTACAACACGGGCGTTGGTGGCGGAAACGTAGGCGTAGAACCGACACAAATACAAAGTCAATCCATGCTTGTTGACCTGGCTACACGTCCACTATACGTGGATTCAGGCCTGGATGCCGGCGGTATTTCAGATGATGATCGGATGAGTTTGGAAAATTCTGTATTTGATGAGTCGTTGACATCGACACCTGTCAAGGTCACCAAGGGTGCGTCCGAAGGTACGGGAGGTGGAAAGTTACTAAATGCTGCATTCACAGCAAAGACATTGGTAGCTTTTACTGGGGACTTGAGCAACGCTGCAAAACGTGCAAATCGCTCGTCCAGCAGTACGGCTGACTCTACCATCACCATCTCTTCTGGCTACGGTTCAGGTCATAGTGAACGTTTTGCCTCCTCTTCGACTAGTGCGGACTTCCGCAGCCGTTTCTCATCTGTTGATACACAATCTTCAATCGATAGTTGTCCAACAGAGAAGACGAGCGAGTCCTCTATATCCAAAGATTACTCTAAAATGGAACGAACATTGCTTAACGATGCTATAAACGATTACAATAACTTAAATAATAATGAAACTCGCAGTCATGTGGGTTGTAATATTTTGGTTGGCAATAACAATGTGCCCCCTAGTCGGCACTCTCCAAATGCGAATACCCAGATGAACAATGGATTGGTGCAGCAAAAACCCCCTATAGTTCCAACACGAAAACAGTATCCAGATGTAGCAAAGATTCCGCCACCCTGCAGTAAAAATAGTTCACAGCAGTCTCTACATAGCAGCGGTTGTGGCAGCGGCAGTGGTAGCGTGGGCAGTAGTAACGCTGTCTCCACGGTGTCGGCTTCCACGTCCACCTCCTCTACGGTGTCTGCTGGTTCGGGTACTTCTACGGGTTCTCTGCTGTCAGGTTCGGCCACTACATCGAATAATGCCATTTCACCGCTTACACACAACGCAGCCAATGTTTATCAACAGTCAAAACGTCCAGTACCGCCGATACCGCCAACGCGCGGTCAAATTAGTTTCGATCATAACATCAATAATGGCACGCAAATTGAAGCCACACCGGCCGCATCGAAACCACCGACAGCACTAAGCGTTCGGAACAAGCTTGGTAAAAATAAACCTCCCCCTATCGTTTACCCAAAACTACATCAACGGCAGGACTCCAATTTGTCCAGTGACAGTTTTTCCGTCACTTCCAGTCCTGGTTATAACTCAAAAAATCTTATGGATGTACCGTTACTTCAGAATGCATCACGCATCAATAAGAGCGGTGCGGGTGCGGGTGCGGGTGCGGGTATGGGTATGGGTATGGGTATGAGTGTTCGGAATCCGGATTTAGTGGATGGTTTTAATTTAAATGGATCACGATTTGCTGCGCTAACATCTAGTGGAATTGGAAATCCTGTGCTACCACCTCCACGTAACAAATACAGCTGCCGTCAGGATTCAAATATTTCCAGTGATAGTTTCAGTCAAACTTCCAGTCCAAGTTACAATACAAAGCAAATGGAAGCTCCTTTATTACCCTCGCTCTCTGTAAAAAGGTTGTGCGGCGGTAAGTAAACCATTTTGATAGAACATAAAACACCATTGAACAGAACCAAATTAAGATTGTATCCTGAGATATGAGCAAGTTGAATAAAGGGTCTAATGAAAAGACTAATTTTCCAGATATGAATTAGAGAAAGCGCAAGGGACACCTATAATTCAAAGTAGTATCCACTTACTTAATGAATTTGAACCAGTTCCGGTGTAAAACCTTGTTACTCTGACACATATATTGATCGAATTTTACACTCAAAAAGCCAGTAACTGTTTTCAGCTGTTCAAAAATTAAGATTCATAAAGCGGACCCTTTATAAAATTACTTATTTACTGAAGTCAAAACCAAATTTTGAATTTAATTGAAATCGGTACTAAGAAAACACGTGGTTCGTTTCCCGAAATGGAGAAATCAACAAAAAAAAAAATGCATTAATTTTCATTAGGATTTTGCAAAAATCGAGAAAAGCTACATTCGACTAATTACTGATACAAATTAATAATTAATAATAATATTATAATAATGTGGCATTTTATGTACACCATCATCAACAATGTAGTTAATTTTCGTTTCTTTTCCAGTCCCGGCGCCAATTGTTTACAAACAAAAACTGCAAAATGAAACCATCGAAGAGATGGAACAATCGGTTCCTATGTCGCCACTTACCAAATGCGTGTCCACTCCGGCTAGTCTACAAACAATTGTACGATTCCAAAATGGAACCCCCAACACGATGTCACTACAGCATCAGGTAAAGATTTAACTGAATTTTATAACACTCACTACTTCATACGATTCTATTTAGTTTTGGCTGCAAAGTTTCAAGAAAATTGAATAATCTAGAGCTCCGTTTGTTTCCTAAATTTTTGTTTACTTTAGCAGATTATTCATCGTCGCAAAAGCTCCAATCCTTATATCACCAATGGTCGACTGAAGTTTCGTCTCTGGCAAGTATTAGTAAACGCATTCGCTTTATTGGTGATTGCTGGTGGCTTGGCGGCATATTTCAATGCCTATCCAACCATAAAATTTGTCAATAAAACGATTATAAACACAGTCCATGTGGAGGATACATCGATTTATGGAAAGAACCCTGCACCCGGTACTTGTTTACCTATCATAGTGAAGTTTTGCCAAGGTCCACAAATCCCCTACAACTACACCGTGTTCCCCAATTACATTGGGCATTTCGGGCAACTGGAAACTCAAGTGGTAATACCTTCTGTTACATATTTTCATCTACTTTTACTTAATGATTACCTACAGGATCTAGATGCCTACGATGCACTAGTGGATGTGCGATGCTACGAATTAGTCTCACTGTTCCTCTGTACCCTATTTGTACCGAAGTGCGGTTCGACCGGAGCAACTGTGCCACCTTGTAAAACCTTGTGCACCGAAACTATGCGACGTTGTGGTTTCTTCTTTGATGTGTTCGGCCTCAGTTTACCTGAATATTTGAATTGTAAGCTCTTTAAAGATTTCGAAAACCCCGAAGACTGTGTAGGACTCGACCAAGTGCGTGAGGTGATGATAGCATCGACGAACCCCAAATGCGATGGTTTTCAGTGTGATCAAAATCGTTGCTTGCCCAAAGATTACGTATGCGATGGTCATTTGGATTGTAACGACCAAACAGATGAGGCCAAATGCGAACGGTGCCAAAAGGATGAGATCTATTGTGGCGATGATCGTTGCATAGGTATAAATCACGTATGTGACGGCGTTATCGACTGTCCTTATGGGCAAGATGAACGAAATTGCAGTAAGTAAACATAGTATCTACAAGGTTAAGTATATAGTGGGCATCAGACAATGGGGCGAGTAGGGAAACAAAAGACTTCATACTTAATTAACCTCCTTTATTTACGAAAACACGGCTACCAACGAGGTGGTCTTTATGGTGTTATTCCCTTTATCTACCCGTTAGCTCCAAGCTTCACTACGTGCTTAGTAGAGTATAGTAAAATTACCAAGATGAAATACATTTGCTCTTCTTAACAGTTCGTCTAAGCGATCGTAATGGCGATTTAGGGAAAGGCATGTTGGAATTCTATCGCATAAGCACACAAATGTGGACGCCAGCTTGTGTTAAAAACTGGGATCGCGCAGTATCCCCTTCAGCTGTATGCTCTATGTTGGGTTATAGTGCCGTTAACGCCACGAGTGTGGTAACACTCAAAACACACCGATCGCTTATGGCATCCATAAATGTATCGACCGATATTTGGAATATGTATGCGAAAAAACATTCAAATTTGATGCAGGAATTCTCAAGTTGTTCACCCGACGAGGATTATCCAGTTGCTGAATTAACTTGTACTAATTACGGTAAATTTCAAAAACAGTCAAAAATAGATTTTTCATTGCAATTTTGAAATGTTATTTATATTTTAGAGTGCGGAAAAGTTAAACGGGGACGCCACAAGCCATCTCGCCGCATCATTGGAGGATCACAGGCCAACCCAGGCACTTGGCCATTTTTGGCCGCAATTTTAGGAGGACCTGAAAAAATATTCTACTGCGCGGGAGTTCTAATTTCCGATCAATGGGTACTCACAGCGTCGCATTGCATAGGAAAGTAAGTGATTTTTAGGCATGTGGCATCATGCACATACCATATTCATACATGTATGTAACTAATTTCAGTCATACCGTCATTGACCTTGAAGATTGGACCATACAGCTTGGTGTAACGCGCCGAAACTCCTATACATACACGGGGCAAAAGGTTAAAGTCAAAACAGTTATACCACATCCGCATTACAATTCCGTAATCACACATGACAATGACATAGCACTATTTCAAGTAAGCTAATCACATGCTAATTAACGACCGAAAAATAGTTCAAAGCCATATTAATATAAATACTTATGCTCTATGCTTTCAGCTGGCCACTAGAGTTGCATTCCATGAGCACTTATTGCCTGTTTGTCTGCCGCCACCCGGAATTAAACTGAAACCGGATCAAATGTGTACAGTGATCGGTTGGGGAAAGCGGGACAATAAAGATCGTAAGATAATGATTCATTAGTATTTTAGCTATACGATTTAAATTTAATGTAATATTTGTATGGCTTTGCCGTGTTGTCTTCACCTGATGGAGTTCATTTGCTAAGTGCAAAAGGAGTAGTTATCGTTTAGGATAACCGTGCTTGTCGCAAATTTTAATAAACTCTGCGGCCTCACTATCGATACCCCCTCCAGTGCATCATACCGTGAGGACCCTAGATGCTTACAGCTAATGCAGGAGAAGTGCACAAGATATGCTCCATTGTTTCCCTGGTGCCCTGCTTTAGGCATTTCCTGCAGTCTTCTCGATCTGTCAGCCCCATCTTGGGGCGTGTGATGCCACCAGACTGTGACCAGGTAGTATTCCCTTCATGCTCCTACACTCTCTCCTGACGAGTGCCAAAAGGAATGCTGTGTACTGCCGATCTACCGTTTTGCACATGACTTTTGCAGTTTTGCACCTTGGTAGCTCGTTCCATCGGGTTTTGATTCTCTTTACCACATTTTTATCGGGGTCGTGGTATAGACAATGTATGGGTTTCCCAATGTTTTCTGATGTTAGCCATTTTCACCATTCTTGGAAATCTCGTCCACTATTTCGTAGCCCTTTGATTTCGATGCTGATTTTCCACTATTCGATATGAGTTTACTGCCTTGTTTGCTGCTAGGCTGTCTATGTTTACTTCTTCTTGCCCAGTTGAAAATTGGGGTCATGTAATCAATGTTTGCCCAACCACCATTACCCACTGAGCTATGCCCGAAGGTTCTCTGTATAAATTCTCCTGCAGCCAGTAGTTGTTTAGCCGATATTACTAGGTGGGAAATTTAGTGCCAGTTCAAGAGCCGCTTTTAGAGTTGTTCTAAACCCTTTCCATTAACTGCTGGTAGGTGAATTACCGTACGCCCGTCCATCAGACTACTGCACCGTACAGCTGAATTGGTCTAACTATAGCTGTGTAGCACATGTGCATGTGAGAGGGAGAGAGCTCCTAGGTTATGTCGAGCATCTACCTGCACGCATATAAAGCATTTCTGGCTTCCTCATCTCGTTCAAAAGTATGAAGAAATAATAGATCATCACTGTGAAAGCTGTTGTAGCTTTTATTCACTTAAAGCAAGTTCTAAAAAAACCAAACCATCGGCAAGACAGAGTCTACGTCAATTTATAAAACTTAACTTATAAATATACGTATTTCAGCAAAATCCACATATGAACCAATTGTGAATGAAGTGCAAGTCCCGATTATTGGCCGTCAGCAATGCGATGTTTGGCTTGATAATCTGACAGTGTCCGATGGAATGATATGCGCCGGCTACGAGGAAGGAGGCAAGGATGCGTGCCAGGTATGCTTACAAAACTACAAAACAATAAAAATATACCGAAATAAATATCAATTGATTTAATATTAACAGGGTGATTCCGGAGGTCCTCTCTTGTGTCCCTATCCAGGAGAAAAGGATCGTTGGTTTGTGGGTGGCATCGTATCGTGGGGCATAATGTGTGCACATCCGAAATTGCCAGGCGTATATGCGAATGTAATCAAGTATGTACCATGGATACAGGAGCAAATGGCTAAATATTCAAAACCTGAAAATGAAGAGAGGTTGTCCAAATATGATGCACATCCAGGCGGACCAGATATTCTCTCGAACATAGCAACTGGACCCGTACGCAACAAAAAACCATATCACAATCAGAATCGCAGTCCAATGGACATTGATTACTACGACAATTATAAGAAGACCTAGATTAAACATTCACATTAAAAGTAAAAAACTTAAAGAAACCAGCACAAGAAAGCCATTATATTGTAAGTGAGGTGTTCAATAAACCATAGAGAGAGAGAAGGCAGTCGAAATGTACGAAAATAAGTACATTGAATTTTGATAGACAATAATACACATATACATAGATACTATATGTAAATTAGGTATAGAGAAACATTTCTACAAAGTGTTAGACAATACAGTTTAGTTGCGACTCGTTTGTATTTAACAAACAACAAATATATTCATATCCTTGTGGCATATTGCCATTTGAAAAATGGAATATGTTTACATAAAAAAATTAAATTTAGGCAAAGAGTGTATAACAGCTATGCTTATACAAGTACTACAAGGTTTTTGTAATACATTAGTATTAGAGGGCACACTTTTGATGGGATAACCATGCACACACATATTATAACCGAAGAAGTCAATTTCCGAATTTAAATGTCAATTGGATACAAAGTTCACAGCGTTTCCTTGAAGGGAACCATAGAAAATGTGACAAAATCCGTGAGTGTCAACCAAATACCAGCACATACATACCTACACACAAACATGCTATATGCAACAAAATACAGAAAGTATTTTATATTTGTACATCATGTGTACATAGTTTTATATCATATTTTTAACAATTAGCTATTTATTCTTGACATAACTTTGAGGTTTTGTACTCGTAGTAAAGTAACGGGCAAAGTGCGTACTTCCTCTGCGACAGCAAAGTTGCAATTGACGATTATGATTTATTTTCAAATATACATATACATATGTATATACACATATCTACTTCTGTTATCAATGCTAACATTTGACATGTATGGTTGTATGTATGTGCCAGTGCGGCGACTCAAAACGGAAGTAAATCATAAAAATTATTCTAATTAAAATATATCCACTCAACTCAAGTATACACTCACACCCACATACATATATCTACATATATGTATTAAATATTTATACACACACATTTATATGTTACATACATACATATATGTAAAACATGAAATTGTTACACGTCTATTAATTAGCAAATGTACACAGAGAGCTCATTTGCATAAATACCTACACATATGCATATGTACATACAAATATGGTTATGATAAAAAACAAAAAAAAAAAACAATATTTTTTATAAGCAAACGGAAATATATAGTTAATTTTTATATGTGTACACGTATAAAATGTGCAGTAAAGCTATTATCCTTGCAAAAGTAAACCACACAAATTATGAAAGAAAATACATACAAACACATAAAGAAAATTAGTAAATTTAAGACGCAGCAAGTGCATAGATACAAATATTATACGTATGTAGTAGTGCGGTATGTAGTCAATGACTGTAATATTGTTGTGTGAGCAAATGTTCCAAAATAAATAACTACAATAATGAAATAAGCTAAAGAGTGGAAAAGTTACATATACCACATGCATTCATACTCTACGCACATCCACACAATCATATGTATGTATACCTATAACGAACATACATACTTACGCGTTGTGTTATCTGAATGAATATGCCTATTAAATGTGTGAACTATGTATGTTAATAAAAATTGAGACAATAAAATAAAGTTCAAAACCGAACGGGGTGAAATGGAATGCAGCAAATAAAGACAATGTACCGAAGACAATAAATTTGTAATTTGTAGAATGTGTTGTATTATATAATAAGGTATAGTGATGATTTTAAATAGATTTATACATTAACAAATAATTTACGTGCAGACGCACATGCATGGCTGAGGTCTAAAAAAATTTAAAATTTAAAATTAATTATTTTTAATTTTGAAATGCGAGAAACAATTGAAAATTGATTTTTGCGAAACAACAGCACTGTAAAGAACTAAATTTTTAAGCGAATATCTAACTAATGCTGAGAGAACAATTTAGATTATTTGAATTACGAATCGCTTTTTAATTTTTTTCCCTCGAAAATATTTACAAATTATTTTAGTTTAAAATAAACATATGGTTTTAAATACCTATTATTTTCAATTAAAAGACAATAAAACAAGCAGAAACTTATTGGGACACACAAATATTAGTGCGGCGTGTTGTTGTAAGCTTCTATTTAGTAAAATAATGAAATAAAACGAGAAACTAAAAGAAATATATGCATGGGTTTCAGCTTTAACAATATGAAATTAATTAAATATATACATGCTGTCTATATATACATACATATACACGATATATATAAAAGCTAATTTAGCCATACATACATATACTATTTACAATTAGATGTTAATGTAATTACGTAAAAGGAATACATAGTATCATGTGAAGCTGCAACCACAGTCTATAAGTAATAACCAAAGCTGATTTTTACCTCACTCAACCACATTCTTTTACGCACCAATGCCATTATACATTTGTACATGCACTCTACATATGCATACAACTATATGTTTTAGAAGGAGCATCTTTATACTATATATAAAAATCACGTGTCACGTTGTTTGTCCGCCATGGACGCCTAAACTACTGAACCGATTTTAGTAAAATTTAGCACACTGTGTGCAATTCGAACCAACTTAGAAGATAGTAGTAGTAGTAAAAACAATACATAATTAAAAAATACAGTGAACGCTCTATTAAATGGACAATATCTCTCTTAAATGGACAGAAAGGCTGGCAACCAGACATTGGGAAAGCAGCCTTAAATTCGTTAATATTTCCACTTAAATTTTTTTCTATGAACATATTCAAAATTAGATCTAAACTACAATCCCTGGGATTCTTATAATAAAAAAATATAAAACTTTCACTGTGCTGAAGAGCTTATCATATAAATAATAGTATAAAATGTATACCACAGCAACGCGTGGCCGAGTCCCCTAGTATGAATATAAAATATTGTAGTAAATGCATTTTCCAAGAAACAGCTATAGCATTTTGAAATTAATTCTTTTTTAGCACTCCCTGACATTTCAGTTTTTGTCCTAAAACGAGTTCAACGCAGTTGAAGTATACATCAGATGACCTGAGCATTCATACAAGTGCCTTATGGCTTTTGTGTTGCTTATACGACATGGTGTACTGCTTTCAAGCTCAGTAAACTTGTAAGAATGGTCAGTACACTTGATGTCTAATTTATAATTGATAGCCCAAACTTGATGAAAGAACTTTAACTTTTACTTTTACTTAAATAAGCCTGTGTAAGTTTGGGAACGAGAAATCAGGAAAATTTTAATTAAGTGGCTTTTCCGTTTATTATATGTATGTATATAAAAGGGTATGTACAAATGTAAAAAGGCAGTGCACACATACGCACATTCACACAGCTTTATAATTTCGAACGAAGTGTTGTATACTTGAATTTATATATACACAGCTAAATATATACATACATATTATGTATAAAGCATACATACATAATATATTTAGTATAATCTATAACACATGCAAAATCTACGGAAGCAGCAATATAAAAAGAATGAGAATATTTACTATTTTGAAATGATTTGATGTGTGAGGCAAATTTAATACGATTTAATTCAAATAACAATAACAAAAATAAAATAGATTGTTTGTTTGTGATTAAAACCCATGCTGAATATATACATACTATATATGTCCGTAAGTGTGAGTATATGAATAATATACGCAGCATATAACCAATAAAAGTAGAAGTCAGACACATACATATATACATTCATATTTACCTACAAGGGCGGTAAATTTACCTGCATATATACTATTTGCTATCACACACACAACTAATACTCCAATTAGCGCAAGTACTATGTATGAATATTTACACCCTTAGCGAAGAAGAATAAAATTGTAACTAAAGTATAATATACCAAAAGTACATGTTTATATGTTAGAAATTGTAGACAATACTATTTGAACGCATTTGCGGAGCAAAATAATGCGAAAAGAAGAAATGCGTGCAGCAAAAGCTTACCATGCATATTTCAGAGATTAAATAAAATAAAAAATATACAAAAAAAAAACAAATACGACAATAAAACATGTTATGTACAATCATCCATTATAAACAAAGACACATATATATATATATATATATGTACAAAAACGTACATGTATTGTTATAGCTATAGATATAATATACATATACTTATATATACATACATGAATATCATAAATGAATATACATATGAATATAAAATATTGTATTAGACTAAAATATGAAGCAAACATACAAGTAGTGAATGCAAAAAGAAAACAACTTAATGTGATCATTCTGATAAAGTCAAAAACTGCTTTACTTTTATACTTTGCATACATACGACATACGAGACGAAGTCGAAATAAAGGTGAAACTATAAATCTTATAGTATTATATACATTGGTAGTTTAGACAACAGTGGAAATAATATGCTTACATATATACACTTCAAAACGCAAAATTGTATGTTGAAGCACAGCCAATGCATACATACATACATATGTACTTATACACAACAATTTTATTTAATTTTAGTCTGAAATCCCTTAGTTAAGCATTTCTTTTCTCTTACTTACCCATTCGTGCAAACTTATGTTAAAATCGCACATGCATACATATCTATGCAGAACCTACGTGCATATAACGATATATAGTATGTACAATATTTGAATATCAGAACGTTTACAATTACTATTCCACAAGTTTGCAACTAAAATAAGCACTACAAATCATATTATTTTTATAAGAAGTTCAACTATATTGACTAAAAATTATTGTATTTGTTTCTCAACCAATCGCACTTGTTAAAAATGCACAAATACCAAAAATCGGATGTAAAAAGAAGTCAAAATTATTAATCATTATCAGTTATGCAACAATTCCAAAACTATACAAAAAATATGTATATATACATATGTATACCTATGTTCTATGGTAAATCTGAACTGATTGCCTTAACTTTTTTATTTTTTGTTGCGAGTTTTCGCATTAAAGCGACCAAAAATTCCACATGAGCTTCAGAAGTAATATTTTTATTTGTCTGTTCGATTTGTAATATGCATGTTCTTAGAGGTAGCGACATAGAATCAGAAAAGAATTTCATTAATCGCAATTTTATTTTAACACAAGTGATGACAATAATATAAAATAAGAAATGCTTTGCAATATATTCTTTATTAGAAACAGTGCTTGAGTGACTTTAAAAATGCGTATGTATGTGCATATTCTACATAAAAATTTATACAAATTCAATGATTAAACCGCTGTTGGTACACCTGCTTGCATTAATAATGAAATATGAATAGCTATAACAAAGTTCAGAGCGAAAAAATAGATACATGACAATGCAAGTGATAAGAGAACACAAAACCCAAATTAACGCATACTTTAATGCAAAGAAAATAATAATATGTGTATCTATGTATATAGATATAATACGTACATACCTATACATATACCATATATGAAATAAAGGAATAAAACTGAATATATACACACATAAATGTTAATACAAATAAATAAATGGCACAAATAAATATTGTGTTTTTAATGAAAGACAATTTTCTTTTTGCTGGAAATCATTATTTAATTTTAAATTTTTTTCTATAAAATTCTTTAAAAAAAAGCAGTATGTGTAAAAAATTACCACCCATTAATTCCCAAGGGCGCCTTAAATTTATGACGCACCTGTTACTATTTATAACCCGAATATGTGAAAAACAACAAGCCATATTAATAGTATATTTGTAAAAATAACATATGTACATTGTTCCGCAAGCGCGTCTCACATTTATGAGACAGATGTCACAATTAATTTCCCAAATATTTGAGAGCAACCCGTCACATTATTAGTGTACATGTGTGCATGCATCGCTTGTGTATTTTTGAACCGTGTTTCTGAGCAAGTTTATAACATCCCGCTGATTAGGAGCTTGTATAACAGCTGTTCCAGACACAATCATATTCGCGCCAGCCTAAAAAGATTTTTGTTTAAAGTTTTTTTGGTTTTAAACTTGGACAAGGTATAATTGCTTTGCTCGATTTTGAGGATGCATGATTTTGAACTAATGACTGAAATCCAACTACGATTTATGTTTTCTTTTTTAACTTTTGGAATCCTTTCATCGATTTAAACAGTTATGCTTGTAAGTGAGTGAATGATATAAAACTTACTTTCGCACAAGTTTCTATTGTATTTGGACCAACTCCCCCGTCCACCTCTATGTCTAGATTAGGGTAATGATTACGTAGCCGTTCCACTTTTGGCATCATATTTGCCATAAAAGATTGTCCTCCAAATCCCGGTTCAACAGTCATAACTAGAACAACATCGGCCATATCAACGTATCGTTCAACTACTTGAACCTTCATATTTAACATACAAAAAACAAGTTGTTCATATACTTTGTTGAAAAAATATACATGGCGAATAACGTACCTCAGTGCCTGGCTTCAGAGCTAATCCTACTTTCATTCCTGACTCACGTACTTTTCGGCAAACATTTGCAACTTCTTCCATAACTGGTTCTATATGGAATGTATAAAGATTTACACCGGCATCAGCCATAGGTTCAATCCATTGCTGGGGGCGGGACACCATCATATGAGTTTCGAAAAAATCTTTCTATTTATAAGAATTACATACACGTATAAAAAGAAAGTATCTTTAATAAAGAAGTTGGATATACCTTAATTTTATTCCTTAAGCACTTGACTAGCGAGTGACCAAAAGTAAGATTTGGTACAAAGTGACCATCCATTACATCAAGATGGAGATAATCTGCACCATTATCTAGCAGTTTTTGCGATTCGTTAGCCAAGTCAGCTAAATCAGCATTCAATATTGATGGACCTATTTTCGCTTGAACAGGCATTTTAATAACTATTAATGTATATATATTTTCTAAACGGAATGATTTTGAATCAGTAGAAGAAATAAGATATGGATCGGTCAAATTTAAGGGTCGAAACTGTCATCAAAACGTGCAATTGATTTAAAGACCGGTTCACAATAGAGTTTATCAAGAGTTGGAAAACGAACCTATAAAAATATACATAAAAACCAATTTGAAGAATATCAAATGCATTTTTATTAATTTAAATAATATAAACTTTCATTTCAGCTTAAACATATTTTGAGAATCTAAAAGTTTTTTCTTTAATAAGATAATCTCTAAAGAAAGTGAGAAATCCAATTTTATAGTTCTTCTTTCTCTTTTGTAGAGTCATTGCTGGTGCTCCATTCACCGGAATATTCCTTATTTTCAATTGTGACTCCTTTGCAACGCGTTTGTTTTATTAAAAAATCTTTAGCATCCCAAGCTTGAGAACCGTCCTTAAAAAGAAATATAGCTCTATTATCATCCACCATATATCGTTCAGCTTGTATATGATTGTTCCAAAGACTTGTCTGCCACAACTTAGTAATTGTGTCAGCTTCTTCCCGTGTTGGATCTCCATCCACAGAAACGAATGTCATAAGTGTACGCCCTTTTTTAGAAGCTTTTAACAAATCTTCTGGATTTTTACTATCGAGATTTGATAAGTCTATTTTTGGCTGAGGACGCAAGTGTTCAGGCAACTCATCGGGTTCTAATGGCTCTTCATCTTCCTAAAACATTTTCAAGCAAAGTTATATTAATATTTCTTTAATAAAACAATTAAAATACAAAAATTTCGCTAACCTCCCATTGGTCCAGCAGTCGTTCCATGTCAGCATCTGTAAAATCACGAATGTCTTTTTTTGCCCACTCAGGTTTTTTGTCATCTTCAGCCTTTTTTGTTAAAGTTCTAGGAACTAACGCCACTAAAGCGATTAAAAGCAAAAGCCGCATAGTTTACAAAATTTAATATTAATTTTACTCAAATGTTCACAAGCCACACGTAAACAAAACAATACCCATATGCACGGTAGAGTTGTACCATGCCCATATGTATGAACAATCCCACTCGCTAATATCAAAATAATAATTCACAATTGTCATGTACACAATATTATAATTTTGAGTACAACCCATATATTATAATAGGTTTAATATTGATATATAAAATTTTTGATTATAACTGCATAAGTTTTACCAGCTTCTTTCTATGTTATTGGATTTCGATTTCAGAAATATTAATAAATAAAAAGTTCGTATTCAAAAATACTTCGTATCAATATTGTGAATAGTGGTGTGTTCAGCACTTGTACTCAGTTACAGCGTCTATGATATTAATTTGAATTACTCTATATTTATTAGTTGAAAAATTATGTTATTAAACAATTTTGGTGAACCCGTGGCTTTGGAGGAATTCGCAGAAAAACATTTGGTATGCATTTCTATATTATTATTTTCTCATAATTAATTTCTTTTTCATACAGGATCGAAATTCACCATTATTGCTGTCCAGCTCTAAACTTTTAAACAATTTTCCAGAGGGTTGGTGTGGAACTGTGTATTCTACCCGCCGAATTATTAATGAATCTAAAGAACTTATGGTGATAATATTTTAGTAAATTTAAAAACTTTAGTGAATTAAAATATATTTAATTAAGTTGCTTAAATCGACATCACCAAATCGTATCGGAGAACTAGAAGAAAATAAACCAACGGTGCTAGACCTGCCAGGAGATCCCCTTATTACTGTAACTGCATTTCCTTGGACCAAAGAAAAAGAGGAGCCGAAGTTAATTTTTCTTATTAAGGGTATACATTCCAAATCCCTATATACTCGTAATATTACTTTATATATTTTTTTTGCATTCTAGATCAATATCTAACACGGATATGTATAGATACATTTACCAAAACCTTAAACAGTATTATATCAAATGATATTTTGCGAGGTTTTATCAAAGAAGGGATAGATGTAGTTCACTTTAACGACAAGTTTGCTATGGGATCTAATCCTAAAGATTCGAAAATTCAGCACACTTGGTCCAGTCTACATTTGTTGACTTATCTCATTCGTCCAAAAAAAATATGCGGATTTTCCGAAACGACACTTCCCAAATATATTACCCAGTGTTGTAGTAAACTTGATATTAATAAATGTGCATATTGAATTTTAAGAATAAATGTTTATATTTTATTGATGTAACTATTTACTTTATTCTTCATTATGTATACGCATGCAAGTTCAGATGTTAAGAACACGTTTATAAATAGAGAAGTATTTTTCATCTGCGTTCATTCTTAAGATTGCTAGAACGTGTTGCTCCAGTGCGTCCGCCTCGGTTTGGCTTGCTACTTTGTGATTGCGCACCAGTACCAGCAACAGTCACTGCTTGTGTTGTTTGTTGCACTGAAGTACTAACGCTTGTATTACCAGGCATTTGACCACTTAATCCGCTAGTAAGTTGTTTTTGAGGTGTTTGTCCTATTTGCTGAATGTTACCTGCCTTCGCCGTAGTTGTACTACCTGGCTGTTGAATGCCTCCTCCCAAAGAAGTTCCAATCAACCTTTGTCCTACTTGACTCGAAGTTACAATACTACCATTACTGCCAGTTTGAGACACTTGTTGCGTAGGTGCTACAACACTAGTAGTATTTGATATGACAGTTGGACCCGTGGTGACACCTGTATTTGGCAATAACTGAGTATTCCCAACAATACCTCCTAGACCCTGTGACTGTTGTTGCTGTTGCTCAGGTCGTTTGGGTTCACTCATATTTATTTGTTCGTTAAAAGTCATACAAAATTCTCCAATTTTATAAACTTCTCCATTTTTTCCAGAATATAGTGTCAAACAGTGGCGCCAAATTGATGCATATCCCTTTGTTAACTTGATAATATCACCGGGTGCTATAAGTTTGCCCGGTTCATCCCAAATGGACACATTTATGCAAGCAGAATGGTCACCAACTTTAAAATTCCGCACCTCTCTATTTTCTTTAGTTACAGTGGCGGTTCCAATTTCTAATACTATGAAAATCACATTGATGTTTTTTAATCCAGGTTTAATATCTTTTATAAGTATGCTGCATTCACCATTGTACATTATGAATTTTTTATTTTAATATTTTGCTAATATGTAGGGTAATAAACAAACAAATGCCACTTATTGTCAAAAGTAACCCCGCAGTGTTGTTAAACGTTCATTAAGAACTGATTTCAAATTCAACAGCTGGAATGCATTAAACTGGTATGACCGAAAGTATTCCTGCAAAATGTTAGTTGTTCATCAAGATACTGAAAATAATAAAAGCTATATATTAAATCGCATTTTATGAAATCTTGAGTTACTTCAAATTATGTGCTTTATTCCATGATATATATTGGGAAGTTAGTATTTGCATCGCATATTCGAACAAGCCTTAACGAGCACAGCGCCATCCATTAGTGAAATAACTAATTTCAAATCGCAAAGTATCTTTATAATAACTTCGAAATTTAACATTTTCAATACAGAAATTTTTATTTTTATTTTAAAAATTTCATTGAAATATTAAAAACTGTTCAAATTCTTGCGTTTTAATAAAGCAGATTATTTAGAAAATAGTAATGATTTAAACTCATAATTATTATCGAAATTTTGTCTCCGAATATTTTCGAAGATTTTTCGAAATGCCACAGTTGACAAGTTTCTGCATCTAAGCCAACATCCACCATTTTTATGAATGAACAGAAATTACATTAATTTGTAAATAATTTGTTCGAAATATCATTTTATATAAAAGTAAATCCTGTGAAGTTCAGTTTAATTGTGTTAAAATAATGGCGACCAATGAAATGCAACGAGAAGCTCTAACCGCTGAGTTGAAAACAAAATCCATTTGTCGCTTCTGCCTCACCCAAGGACCAGACGATCTAACTAACATATACGCGAAGGACGCTCCAGTTAAATCATTACTTCCACTGCCAGTAGAAATAATGGCGGTGGCATCTATTGAAGTAAGTAATCTATTTGTCGAGTGAATTTAAAAGCGAACATCCTAAGTACGTAAATTATGTTTTTCGGAATCATAGCCATTGACTGAGTTTGGTTTGTTTCTAAATAACCAATTTTGTTTTGATCTGTGCTAGTGTAACACAACCACATAGAAATATAAATAAATGCGCGCTTTAATGGACCATTTTGAAAAAAAAAAAAATTATATATAAAATATTTTGAAGAAGACGCCAAAAATTGCAAATCAGTTTGCGATTGAAGTAATTTTTAACAAAGACATACGAAGTGGTTAACAAAACAACCGATACATACATATATGAATAGGCCTTCGTAGGTGAAGAACAGATCTTCCCCATAATACTTCCAATCCAAGTGGTGTGCATACGAAAACTTTAGGCAAACTTCAGTTTTTTAATAAATAAAAATTTCATTTTATCAAACAATAATTTGATCTGTATCAAAGACGCGCACCCATCAAGTATTTCAATCAAATGGCGCCACTAACCTCTTGCAGAAATGAAACACCTCTGTTTAATTCAAGTCAATTCAATCTTACATTAAAAATACAATTACTTTCATTTGTATGTTATTCGAAATATAATAAATTTCAGTAAATGGCAAAATTAAAGCAGTGAAAATGGGAAGCAGTTCAGTCTCTGCATTTTAATACACTCTTGAGGTGTTTGTATGCAGTTGCACAAATTAATGATTTCTTAATGATTATGTATGTATCAACTCCTTTCAGTTCAAAAATAATGTACCATCTGTGTACAATACTACAAAAATACCTTTCTTTTTTCAATCGAATTGCACACTCCACTATTTGAAGCAGGTGTTCAAATGTTAATGTGTAACTTATGTTGTTTTAGATGGTTTGTCTGTGAAGCGCAATATACGCGTTAACATCGAAGTAACGCATGGAATTTGTTTCTGCTGATGCATTATCGGACAATCTGGAACACATGATTCAAAATCGACAGCAACACGCTGATTAACGAATGTTAGTAATGTCAGTATATCATGTTTTTTGCCATTCTTATTGAGTTCTTCCACTAGTGATTGCATAAACCAAGAGCCATTAGTGGTGTTGCGCCATGAGTAGAAC